CCACGGCGGCTTCCATGGCAGGCGCCGTGTGAGGTGCCCCCGGCGCTGTCTGGCGCCCCCCGCCCTTCCCCCCCGCCCTTGCTGGGCAGCACGGGCGCCCCCCGCACCCTTTCGCCAACGTCGCGCCGGCGACCCTCCCACGCACCGTCCAGCCCTTCCTCGTCGGGGCGGTGGATGGATCCCGCCGAGGGCAATCCCCACCAAGCCGCATCGTGCTGTGTTCGGGCGGCCACCCCGCCCAGGTCGCCGCCGTAGGGTACGTAGCCTCGTCGCGGGTGGCTCTTCTCTCCCGGCCCCTGGCCCGCCGGCCTGTCTGCTTGCGGTCTCTGCTGTCCCTCTTCCTTGTCCTCCTCCTCCCCCTCCTCCCCCTCCCTTCGCTTCTACTCGTTGCTTCCCTCCCTTTCCTTTCCTCCTGCTCCTTGCCTGCTGTCTCCGCCTGGCCCGTCTTCTGCCTGCCCGCCCGCCCCGCTGGCCCTGGCCTCCCGCCTGGGCGTTCGTCGTCGTCTGCCTGCTTCTCCCCTCCTCGTCCCCTTCCGCCGGACAGCGCAGCCTGCCCGGAACCAGCGTGGCGGCATATAGGGGCCTGACATGCTGGAGGCCCGCTGCAGACCCCCCCCCTGTCGCGACCGCGAAGCGCGACGAAGGCGGCTACGGGATCGGCGGCGAGTTCCACGTCCACGGGGCCGCAAGCCGCAGGGCGAAGCTGGTGAGCACGAGCGGCCCACTTCTGCGAGAAGCCCGCTCTCGCCTCGAGGGACGGCGTGGCCGCAGGAGTGTGGCGGCGGCTCGTTCCCTGGCCGGGGCTCGAGGTCCTGAGCACATCATGCAGCACATCCAGGACGTCTACATGCCGCCGCGCTGGTCCCTGGCAGGCTGTGCTGCCTGGCGGAAGGGGACGCGGAAGGGAGAAGCAGGCAGGCGACGACGAACGCCCAGGCGGGAGGCCAGGGCCTGCGGAGGACGAGGCCCAGCTGGTGGGCACTGGGCTGCGGCAGACCGCTGCCGCCGCTTGGCTGACCCCCCCTTGCAGGCGGCTCTGCGACTGCCCGGACAGGGCCGCGCTGGGCTTCCCCACCGCCGCGGGAGCTGCCGCACTGGCCAGGCGGCGCAGCCCGGCGCAGCCCGAGCTGGCTGGAGAGGCGCGACGCGCTCGTGCGCAGCATGCGAGAACGAGTCGGGCCCCCCTGAAGCTGACCCTGGTCGCCGCCGTGGCACGGCGCACTGGCCGTCTTCATGGCCGCCGTCGCTCCTGAGTAATGCCATGTGGACATATCCCGCGGCGACCTGCATGTAGGTCCGGCCGCCGTCCAGCGCTGGCACGGCGCACTGGCCGTCGCCGCAGGCCACGGCCGTGCCGTCGCTCCTGAGCAGGACCGTGTGCCAGCCTCCCGCGGCGACCTGCGTATAGGTCCGGCCGCCGTCCAGCGCTGGCACGGCGCACCGGCCGCCGCTATCGGAGCCGCAGGCCACGGCCGTGCCGTCGCTCCTGAGCAGGACCGTGTGGCAGAGTCCCGCGGCGACCTGCGTGTAGGTCCAGCCGCCGTTCAGCGCTGGTACGGCGCACTGGCTGTATTCATTGTGGCCGCAGGCCACGGCCGTGCCGTCGCTCCTGAGCAGGACCGTGTGGTCGCCTCCCGCGGCGACCTGCGTGTAGGTCTGGCCGCCGTCCAGCGCTGGCACGGCGCACTGGCCGCCGCTATTGTCGCCGCAGGCCACGGCTGTGCCGCCGCTCCTGAGCAGGACCGTGTGGCCGTATCCCGCGGCGACCTGCGTGTAGGTCCGGCCGCCGTCCAGCGCTGGCACGGCGCACTGGCCGCCGCTATCGGAGCCGCAGGCCACGGCCGTGCCGTCGCTCCTGAGCAGGACCGTGTGCCAGGCTCCCGCGGCGACCTGCGTGTAGGTCTGGCCGCCGTCCAGCGCTGGCACGGCGCACTGGCCGAGGCCGCAGGCCACGGCCGTGCCGTCGCTCCTGAGCAGGACCGTGTGGCAGAGTCCCGCGGCGACCATCCGTTGGCACGGCGGGAGGCCAGAGGGCCCACCGAGGGGTGCGTTTGGCCGGGGGGCGCTCGGGGCTCCTGGGAGGGCCAAGGCTCGAGCCCAAGCGGCCCGGCGGGGGAACGCGGCCCAAGGCTTCGGCCCGTGGATGCCAGGTAGAGAGAGGATGCTCTGCTCGCGGATCGGAGCTATCGTTCTGATCTGGGTCACACCACAAACTAATCCTCTCGTCCGAGCCGGCAACACGTGAGCGACGATCAAGAACGGGTCTTACGCCAGATGACGCAGCGACCTTCCGCGGTGGCTTACGCGCCAATGTCGGCGCAGACGACCCCGCTTTGTTGGCGCCGGCAACACGTGATCTCGCGGCTCAAACCACCCGCGCTAGCTGCAGAGCCTTGCTTGGCTTGCTTTGGGTCCGCAGCGAGGGGCAGAGCCTTGCTTGGCTTGCTTTGGGTCCGCAGCGAGGGGGCGGTCGCCGACGCGCTCTGGGCTGGCGGGCCGTGCCCGGCAGAGGCGCGCTGGACACTTAGGGAAAGAGGAGGGCGGCCGCGGGGGCGTTAGGCACCGAAGACCTGTGTACTCATCATCATCATCACCACCACCACCACCATCACCACCACCACCACCACCACCACCACCACCACCCACCACCACCACCACCACCACCACCACCACCATCATCATCATCATCATCATCATCATCATCATCATCATCATCATCATCATCATCATCATCCTCATCCTCATCCTCATCCTCATCCTCATCCTCATCCTCATCCTCATCCTCATCCTCATCCTCATCATCACACCATCACCATCACCATCACCATCACCATCACCATCACCATCACCATCACCATCACCATCACCATCACCATCACCATCACCATCACCATCCTCCTCCTCCTCCTCCTCCTCCTCCTCCTCCTCATCATCATCATCATCATCATCATCATCATCATCATCATCATCATCATCATCATCAGGCACCGAAGACCCGTGCACTGGAGGGTGGGCGGCCAGTGTGAACAGCCGAAGGGGGTGCGGCGGTGTATACCCAGAGACCCCCTCGAGCCGTGCAGGAATCACGACGGGAGGTCGTTCCAGAGCTTCGGCCTCGGGGGGTCCTCGCCGGGCCTCGGGACCATCCAGCATGATCGACCCACGGACCCGGAAAGGAAGATAGAAATGTAAGGCATGGCAACGTTTCAAAAACACCTGTTTGGGCGACGGGCAAATGCAATGCTGAATGCATCGATCTTGATGTACCGTGCCGAAGGCTGTGCTGTGCCACGCCGTGCTGAACTGCGATGTGCCATGCCGCGATTGTGCTCTCTATAGCGTTGCGGATCGAGTCCTCCCTGGCATCCGAGTCCTGACCGAACTGATCTGGATCTTAAGCTCGAGCTGCCTGAGCAGATGGTAGCTGCGCCAAAATTAATCGACAGAGGGGACATGCCGCGGGACGTGCCAGGGGACGCGCCGCGCGACGTGCCAGGGGGACTCGCCACGGAACGCGCCAAGGCACGTGCCAAGGTAGGTGCAATGTTGAGTGTATCGATCTTGATGTACCGTGCCAACGGCTGTGCTGTGCAGCGCCGTGCTGAACTGCGATGTGCCATGCCGCGATTGTGCTCTATGGCGTTGCGGATCGAGTCCTCCCTGGCATCCGAGTCCTGACCGAACTGATCTGGATCTTAAGCTCGAGCTGCCTGAGCAGATGGTAGCTGCCCCAAAACTAATCGACAGGGGGACATGCCAGAAGGACGCGCCGCGGAACGTCCCAAGGGACGCGCCAGGCAACGTGCCAGGGGACGTGCCATGGGCACGCACCGCGGGACGTGCCGAGGGGACGCGCTACGGAACGAGCCAATGGACGTGCACCGTGCGACGTGCCAGAGGGACTCGCCACGGGACGCTCCAAGGAACGTGCCAGGCAACATGCCAGGCTGCAATGCTAAGGGTATCGATATTGATGTACCGTGCCCAGGGCTGTGCTGTGCCTAGGCGACCTGGACACGTGAAAACACGCGTTTCGCTCAAGACGTTCTCAGCACATCCTAATGCTAGACATCCGCCTGGACAACCTGGACACGTGCAAACAAGCGTCTCGATCGAGACGTCCTCGACACCGCCTCATGCTAGACATCCGCCTGGGCGACCTGGACAAGTGAAAACAAGCCTCTGGTTCGAGACATCCTCAACAAACCCTCATGCTAGACATCTGTCTGGGCAACCTGGAGGCGTGAAACTAAGCGTCTCGCTCGAGACATCCTCAAGACCTGGGCACGTGAAAACAAGCATTTCACTTGACAGATCCTCTGAATTCAGGCCCACAGGAAAGGACAATCTACAACACAAAGAACAGGCGTTTCGCTCGAGACATCCTCAACAAATTCTGAAAAACAAGCGTTTCGCTCGAGACAGACTCAAAGATGAGTTCGCTGGCTCTACGCGACCTCGTTATTTATCGCAAACTAATTTAGCCGGCCCTGCAGCCGTCAGAACCAGGGGTAAACACACTAAAAGAGAACCCTGGGCCCGAGCCCTTTCCGGGAAAAACGACTCAGGATGAGGAGCCGGTCCCGGGGGATGTGTCAAGACCTTCTGGGGGTCGGCGGCATGAAAGCATCACGACGTCGGGGGTTTGGGTAGGTCCCAACGGAGAGGCGAGCCACCGTCCACTGAGCGGCTGCAAAGCATGCGCTCTGGGCTGAGGGGCAATGCTGGTGCGGGAATGGGTCGCTCCGGGGAGGGAACCGTCGACCTGGAATCGGCGACGCATCGCGGACAGATCGGCGGCGGGCCCCCGAGAGCAAAACCCGACGTTCCTGGGCGGCGTGATGAGGCAGCGGGACCCCGTCGGCGCGGACTCCGGCGGACTTCGGCAGCCAAGGCCGACATGGGTCGAATCGGCGGAAGTCGGCAGGCTGGTAAGACCTCCAGTGGGACGTCGGAACCCAGATCGGAATCTCAGCTCGGATCGAATCGGAATCGTAAGCCATCGACATCGGATCGAGCCGGAGCAGCCGACGAGAGCCCTGCCCAGGGCCAGCCACGTGCCTACGACCCGAAGGCGTCCGCGACGGTCTCGCCCGCCGAGGCCCCGCTCAGGAGCCGCCCGCCCGGCAGGGCCGCGTCGGCGCGGGCGAGCCCGGGGCCCAGCCTGCCCGCGCCCAACTCGCCCGCCAGCCAGTCGCGCAAGCCGGCGAGCGGCGCGCCGGGCGCCGCCGGGGCCCGGCAGCGCTCCACACCGCCCAGGGTCAGGAAGCGCACCTCGCCAGGAAGGAAGCGGGTCCTGAGCTGTGGAGCCGCGTCTCGCCTCCCTGGTCCTCCGCGGGCCCTGGGCCTGGCAGCGGACGGCTCGGGATGGAGATGTGGTCCTGAGGGGGGGGGGGGCCCGTTTCCTTCATGCCAGGCACCGCGTCGCCGTCGAGCGACGCCTGCAGAAGCAGCGTTCCACCGACGAGCAGGCTCGCGGTGTACGTCAGCGCTCCGTGCAGCGCTGGGACGGCGCACTGGCCTTGTCTGTTGTCGCCGCAGGCCACGGCCGTGCCGTCGCTCCTGAGCAGGACCGTGTGGTCGCCTCCCGAGGCGACCTGCGTGTAGGTCTGGCCGCCGTCCAGCGCTGGCACGGCGCACTGGCCTTGTCTGTTGTCGCCGCAGGCCACGGCCGTGCCGTCGCTCCTGAGCAGGACCGTGTGGTCGCCTACCGCGGCGACCTGCGTGTAGGTCTGGCCGCCGTCCAGCGCTGGCACGGCGCACTGGCCGCCGCTACCGGAGCCGCAGGCCACGGCCGTGCCGTCGCTCCTGAGCAGGACCGTGTGCCAGCCTCCCGCGGCGACCTGCGTGTAGGTCTGGCCGCCGTCCAGCGCTGGCACGGTGCACTCGCCGAAATGATTGTCGCCGCAGGCCACGGCCGTGCCGTCGCTCCTGAGCAAGACCGTGTGCCAGCCTCCCGCGGCGACCTGCGTGTAGGTCCGGCCGCCGTCCAGCGCTGGCACGGCGCACTGGCCGCATCTATTGTCGCCGCAGGCCACGGCCGTGCCGTCGCTCCTGAGCAGGACCGTGTGCCAGGCTCCCGCGGCGACCTGCGTGTAGGTCCGGCCGCCGTCCAGCGCTGGCACGGTGCACTCGCCGAAATGATTGTCGCCGCAGGCCACGGCCGTGCCGTCGCTCCTGAGCAGGACCGTGTGCCAGGCTCCCGCGGCGACCTGCGTGTAGGTCTGGCCGCCGTCCAGCGCTGGCACGGCGCACTGGCCGTAACTATTGTCGCCGCAGGCCACGGCCGTGCCGTCGCTCCTGAGCAGGACCGTGTGACAGGCTCCCGCGGCGACCATCCGTTGGCACGGCGGGAGGCCAGAGGGCCCACCGAGGGGTGCGTTTGGGCCAGGGAGCGCTCGGGGCTCCTGGGAGGGCCACGGCTTGAGCCGAAGCGGCCTAGGGGGGGAACGCGGCCCAAGGCTTCGGCCCGTGGCACAGCACAGCCCTCGGCAACACAGGACAGGACAGAAGCTCGAGCTGCCTGAACACATAGAAGCTGCCCCACAGCTACTTGACAGGGGAACATGCCAGGAGGACGCGTCGTCGTCGTGTTCGTCGTCGTCGTCGTCGGCGTCGTCGTCGGCCCCGCCAGGACGACCAAACCTCAATTTAACACTTTGGCTGGTTTGGGGCAGCCTCGCATGTCACCATCATCATCCTCCCACCCCACCTCCCTCCCTCCCCCCCTCCCTCCCTACCTCTCCTCCTCCGTCCCCCCTCCCTCCCTATCCCTCCCGTCCCCATCATCATCATCATCATCATCATCATCATCATCATCATCATCATCATCATCATCATCATCATCATCATCATCATCATCATCATCATCAGTAACAGCATCAGCATCAGCATCAGCATCAGCATCAGCATCATCATCATCATCATCATCATCATCATCATCATCATCATCATCATCATCATCATCATCATCATATCCATCACCATCACCATCAACATCACCACCACCACCATCATCATCATCACCACCACCACCACCACCACCATCATCATCATCATCATCAACATCATCATCATCATCATCATCATCATCATCATCATCATCATCATCATCATCAGTATCATCATCATCATCATCATCATCATCGTCATCATAATCATCATCATAATCAGCAGCATCATCATCATCAGCATCATCATCATCATAATCATCGTCATCACCATCATCATCATCATCAGCACCATCATCATCATCATCATCAGCATCAGCAGCAGCATCGTCATCATCATCATCATAATCATCACCATCATCACAATCATCATAACAATCATCCACAGCATCCGCATCATCATCGCAATCACCATCACCATCGTCGGAGTCACCATCATCCGAATCATCGGAGCCATCATCATCACCACCACAACCATCAGCATCGTCATCAGTATCAGCACCATCATCATCATCATCATCAGCATCATCATCATCAGCATCACCGTCGTCGTCATTTTCATCGTCGGCATCATCATCATCATCATCATCATCATCATCATCATCATCATCATCATCATAATCAGCATCATCATCAGAATCATCATCAGCATCGTCATCATATTCCGTATCATCATCATCATCATCATCATCATCATCATCATCATCATCATCATCATCATCATCATCATCATCATCATCATCGTCGTCATCGTCATCATCATCATCGTCATCGTCATCGTCATCGTCATCGTGCTCACCCTCATGAGCTTCCTCCTCCACCACCTCCTCCATCTCCTATCCCTGTTCCTGGGTGGCCCTGGGTGGTTCTATCCCTGTTCCTGGGTGGTTCTATCCCTGGCCTGGGTGGTTCTATCCCTGTTCCTGGGTGGTTTATCCCTGTTCCTGGGTGGTTCTATCCCTGGCCTGGGTGGTTTTATCCCTGCCCCTCTTCCTCCTATCCCTGTTCCTGGGTGGTTCCCTTTTGCCCCAGGAAGCCTCCCCAGGAAGCCATGCGACGGACCCTGGCTTGAACAGCACGTGCTCTTGCGCCACGTGTTTTCACGCTCGCCCCGCTCTCGGGCCTTAGGAGACCACGTGTTTTCACGCTTGTCCCGCTCTCGGGCGTTAGGAACCCATGTGTTTTCACGCTCGTGCCGATCTCGGGCGTTAGGAACCCATGTGTTTTCACGCTTGTCCCGCCCTGGGGCGTGAGGAACCCATGTGTTTTCACGCTTGTCCCGCCCAGGGGCGTCAGGAACCCACGTGTTTTCACGTGTCTGAGCCACCCAGGGCGAGGTCGCTAGCATGTGGTCGTTCGGGCCCGCAAAAGTGGGTGGAGGCACAGGAGCCAGAAAAAGTAAATGAATCGACACCAGATTTGTAATAATATGACAAGTTCTGTCCTGGGGCCGTGGGGAAGCCTCCTGGGGCCTCCTGGGGCGGCCTCTGAGGAATTAGGAATCCACGTGTTTTTACGCTTGTCTCACTCTGAAGCGTTCGGAACCCACATGTGTTCACGCTTGTCCCGTTCTCGGGCGTTAGGAACCCACGTGTTTTCACACTTGTCTCGCCCTGAGGCGTTAGGAACCCATGTGTTTTTACGCTTGTCTCGCGCTGGAGCGTTAGGAACCCACGTGTTTTCACGCTTGTCCCGCTTTCAGGCGTCAAGAACCCACGTGTTCTCACGCTTGTCCTGCCCTGGGGCGTTACGAACCCGCGTGTTTTCACGCTTGTCCCGCGCTGGGGCGTCAGGAACCCACGTGTTTTCACGCTCGCCCCGCTTTCGGGCGTTAGGAACCCACGTGTTTTCACGCTTGTGCCGTTTTGAGGCGTTAGGAACCCATGTGTTTTCACGCCTGTCCCGTTCTCGGGCGTTAGGAACCCACGTGTTGTCACGCTTGTCTCGCGCTGGTGCGTTCGGAACCCACGTGTTGTCACGCTCGCCCCGCTTTCGGGCGTTCGGAACCCGCGTGGTTTCACGCTTGTCCTGCCCTGGGGCGTTCGGAACCCGCGTGTTTTCACGGTTGTCCCGCTTTCGCGCGTTAGGAGCCCACGTGGTTTTTTATGTTTTTCTTCCGAGCGTTAGGAAGCACTTGTTTTCACGCTCGTGCCGGTCTCGGGCGTTAGGAACCCACGTGTTTTCACGCTCGTCCCGCTCTCGGGCGTTCGGAACCCACGTGTTTTCACGCTTGTCCCGTTCTCGGGCCTTAGGAACCCACGTGTTTTTACGCTTGTCTCGCGCTGGGGCGTTAAGAACCCACGTGTTTTCACGCACGTCCCGCTCTCGGGCGTTGAGAACCCACGTGTTGTCACGTGTCGCAGCCACCCATCGGGGGATAGCTAGCATGCGGTCGTCTGGGCCCCCAAAAGTGGGGCGAGGCACAAAAGCAAGAAAAAAAAAATGCATCGACACCAGATATGTAAGAACTTGACACATTCCGTCCTGGGGCCCTGGGGAGGCCTCTTGGGGCCTCCTGGGGTGGCCTCTGAGGCATGAAGAACCCACGTGTTTTCACGCTTGTCCCGCTCTGAGGCGTTAGGAGACCACGTGTATTCACGCTTGTCCCGCTCTGAGGCGTTAGGACATACGTGTTTTCACGCTCGTGCCGATCTCAGGCGTTAGGAACCCACGTGTTTTCACGCTTGTCCCGCCCTGTGGCGTTAGGAACCCACGTGTTTTTACGCTTGTCCCGGCCTTGAGCGTTAGGAACCCATGTGTTTTCACGCTCTTCCCGCCCTGGAGCGTTAGGAACCCACGTGTTTTCACGTGTCGCAGCCACCCATCGGGGGATAGCTAGCATGCGGTCGTCTGGGCCCCCAACAGTGGGGGGGAGGCACAAAAGCAAGAAAAAGTAAACGAATCGACACCAGATGTGTAAGAACTTGACACGTTCCGTCCTGGGGCCGTGGGGAGGCCTCCTGGGGCCTCTTGGGGCGGCCTATCATGCATTAGGAACCCACGTGTTTTCACGCTTGTCACGCTCTGCGGCGTTAGGAGACCACGGGTATTCACGCTTGTCCCGCTCTGAGGCGTTGGGAGACCACGCGTGTTCACGCTTGTCTCGCGCTGGGGCGTTAGGAACCCACGTACTTTCACGCATGTCCCGCTCTCGTGCGTTAAGAACCATGTGTTTTCACGCTTGTCCCGCGCTGGGGCGTTAGGAACCCATGTGTTTTCACGCTTGTCCCGCGCTGGGGCGTCAGGAACCCATGTGTTTTCACGCTCGCCCCGCTCTCGAGCGTTGGGAACCCATGTGTTTTCACGCTTGTCCCGCCCTGGGGCGTTAGGAACCATCCATGTGTTTTCACGCTTGTCCCACCCTGGGGCGTTCGGAACCCATGTGTTTTCACGCTCGTCCCGCTCTCGGGCGTTCGGAACCCATGTGTTTTCACGCTTGTCCCGCCCTGGGGCGTTAGGAACCCATGTGTTTTCACACTTGACCCGCCCTGGGGCGTTAGGAACCCACGTATTGTCACGTGTCTGAGCCACCCATAGGGGAAATATCTCATTAGCATGTGTCGTCTGGCCCCCCCAAAATGGGGTTGGGGCACAAAAGGCAAACAAAAATCAACGAATCGACACCACATGTGTAATAACTTGACACGTTCCGTCCTGGGGACCTGGGGAGGCCTCCTGGGGCCTCCTGGGGGCCTGGACGCATGAAAACACGTGGTTCCAGCTCGGGACCACCATGTTAGATACCCCCTGCTCGGCCTGGACACGTGAAAACACATGGTTCCAGTTCGGGGCCACCATGTTAGATACCTAGCTGGGTGGCCTGGACACGTGGAAACACGTGGTTCCAGCGAGGGCCCACCATGTTAGATATCCTCCCTGGCGGGCCTGGATACGTGAAAACACGTGGTTCCAGCTCGGGACCACCATGATAGATACCCCCCTGCTCGGCCTGGACATGTAAAAACACGTGGTTCCAGCTCGGGACCACCATGTTAGATACCTACCTGGGTGTGGCCGTGACACGTGAAAACACATGGTTCCCGCTCGTACGGAATGCACTTCTTCGACCAAAATGTGTCCCGCAACATGTGATTTACCGATCGGGATTTCAAAAAACACCGTTTCGCCAAGGACTTCCTCAAAATCTTAATTCGCCGGCCCTAGGCGACCTCGATATTCATTGCAAAAGAAATTCGCTGGCCCTACAGCCGTCAAAACCATGGGGAAACCATCTAAAAGAGAACCCTGGGACCACGCCCTAACCGGGAAAAACAAATGGTGCCAGCTCGGAAAACCATTCTATATACACCCCGTGGTGGCTGGACTCGTTACAACACGTGGTCCTTGCTCAGAACAATCATGTTAGATACCCCCTGGGTGGCCTGGATACGTGAAAACACATGGTTCAAACTCGGGAAAACTATGTTAGATATTCCCCTGGGTGGCCTGGACACGTGAAAACACGCGGTTCCAGCTCGGGACCACCATGTTAGATACCCTCCTGGGTGGCCTGCACACGAAAAAACACATGGTCCAGCCCACCCAGGGGGGAGATCTAACATGCGGT